ATCCACCACGTATAAAAAAAACAGGCCGCCGTATGGGCTGCTCCGAGGCTGAGTTGTTGGGCGGCCTTCTGTTGATGCCACCAACTCGTCGACAACCTTCGCTCGGTGGGAAGCCGCTCATTCTACGCTTTCCCCACAGTCTCGCGCCTCCCGATGAGCATCGTTGGCTACGTACGGTGCGAAAGAAGTTAAACACGTGTAGTCCGATCTGGAACTTCCTAGCCCCCCCCCCCCCGCCATCCATTGCTATCTACTGCCTTCCCCTGTTTAATTTTAGGCCTAAGATATATATTTGTATTCCTCTGCCTGTGACTGACTGACTGCAGCCTCTATTCAAATAAACATGCTCTCTGTTTCTGTGCAGCGTCTCTAGATTCGGCCGCACTGACAGAGGCTATACACATCCACATTGTACTGTAGTGTATGTTATTGTACGCCTCAGTGCATACAATGAGATTGGTTGTCTTGGAACTTGTTTGTGATTCTAAGTTCGTGGTTGCTACCACCAGCAGTGTCTTAATTTCAGCCCGGAAGAATCGGGAACCCCGTTCTGGGAAGTATTTTGACACGCCACATCAATCTCGCCGTTTATATATAAATAAACCTGTTCATAGGCTTGTAGGAATATACGGTTCAATAATATTGCGTTATTATGGACAGGTGTGCCCTATACTCTAGCGATAGTGCCTTATGCTGATAGTCCCTACTTCAAGCCAGTCTAGCAGCGTACCGGAAAATATCGAGTGAGATCTGAAGTCCTGCCTGTTAAATTGTGATTTCTAATTCCGCCGGTGCTTGCGAACTTGTTTTATACTCGTGCGAAGTACCCTACAGGGCTGCGTAGTGGAGCCGAGCTGTTGTAATAATTGTAGTTCCTAAAACTTTGTTTCCGTGGCACACCGCGGGGAAGGGGAGTAAGGTCGAGGATGCAATTCATGGAAAAGGAACACGGGAACGAGAAGAGGTAGAGTGGGAAATACGAGGAAACAAACGGAGAAACGCGAGCAAAGGATCAGGAGAGATGAGGATGGGAGGAAGAGGCTGCATCAGGGCCTTGATGCGGCTGCACCAACGAGCAGAGTCTGTTTCCACAGGGGGCGGGGAAAGGGTTTAGAGTGGGGGTGGCCACATTGAAGTCACGTGATTTACGGGAGGCTCGAGATAATTTAAATAGACGTTTGTCTTTTTAATGGTTTTTTTTCTTTCAAATTTGGTCGTTTTCACAATGTCACAGCTGTTCCGCCTCACACCGTTGTACTTGCTTTAAGAGAGCACACACGCAACTCTATTCTAAGCACAGAGAAGACGGTGTCTGTCCGTCCGTCCGTGCGAAGGCACTGCACGTTTTTATGGAAATAATACAAATCTATAAACCAATGCTACGAAACTCACCCCATGACTCAGCAACACCGATGTCCAGATGTAGTATTTAACCGAGATTAGGAAACTAAATGCACTTCCAAAACAAAATCGCTTCATAAATATATATAAGTTACATTATGCTGCTTTAAGCAAATGATGTTAGCACAAGCACCTAATGCCTGTGTCTGTACGTTTGTGTGTGGTGTGTATTTGTGTGGTGTGTTTGTGATTTTGTGTGTGGTGTGTTTGTGTATTTGTGTGTGGTGTGTATATGTGGATTTTATATGCGTGTATTTGTGTGTTTGTGTATTGTGTGTTTTGTATATCTGTGTTTACGTATACGTGTATCTGTGTGCTTGTGTAATATGTACATTTGTGTGTTCATGTGTGTGTGTATTTGTGAGTTTACGTATTTGTGTTTTTGTATATTTGTGTCTTTGCGTTTGTGTGTTTCCGTGTGCACATTTCTGAGTACAATTAATTCCCCTAACAAATGGAGGCTCCTGAGCAGACTGGCTTGCCCGTTTGGTTTTATAATTAGCGCAAAACAAATATTGATTGCAATTATGTGCAGCATGCATTAAATATTGGAACCATCGTCCGAACGTTGGCCCAACGTTGGGACATTGTCTCTGTGGCTTTCCGTACTTCCAGTTCAAATAAAGTTTGCGTACAAGTTCTTTAATAGCAGTTCACTCAACACACACGCCTGCTCTAAACCTTCTAATCATTGCATATTTACATCATATAATTGTTAAAACGCTAATTCTGTCAGGTACACTAAGAATTAGCATATTTATACAATAATGTGGGCTTAATTCAAGTTGTAATGCAGGAAAGCAAGAAAGTTTAAAGAATAACACAAACACGTTGGCCTTATAAGGATAAAATATGTAACAGATGACGTTTCGGGTATTGGCCCGCTTTTATTTTTGTTGTGTATGTACGTATGTGTGTATGTATGTAGGTATCTATATTGAACTTCTTTCGCATCGTACGTAGCCAACCGTGCTAATTGGAGGTGCGGGGGAAGGATAACGGACTAAACCCAAAAAGCACTGATGAAGAAATGATTTTTCAATTTATAATTTTAGAGGATTTAAAAGTGCACAGCTCCAGTGGCGTCTTAATATCGCAAGGAAGAGCGTTCCAAACGGAAGAAGGACCATTGTCTGAAACGTCGCCTATTCAGTTTTTTTGTATTTTGAGGTCTCAGTGTTATTGACAAATGTGTTGAGTTATTTTGCACCACGGCCAACGCAAAGGCAGCAGCATCATCATCAAAATAATTTGTATAATATTTAAAGAATAATGAGGTAATTAGATTATTTAGAAATGTGATTATTGTACCGGTTATTACACGAATATATTTGTCAAGAAATATGCAATGAAAAAAGACCAACGCTTTAACCGTATTTTTTAAATAAACCATGTGGTTATTGTGGGCCTGATCTCGTACGAGATGTACCGACTGTAACTTCACCAAATCGCAGCAGCCCAAGTAAATTTTCAGTTCACAGAATAGGGGTTTCATTCATGTTTTTAGCTTTAATGTGCAACTACGATATTTATGCAACGTATATAAATTAATTATGAATTGTATTTATTACATTAAATTACCTACGTGTAAATTATGCAAATTGTTGTGTATAAATTATACACGTATTCCACATGTCGTATAATGTATACACATTTGCAGATTCAAAATTATCCTCAACAATCGTACGAATCACGTTTGTTTTTGTGCTTGGGCCACGTGGCAGTTATCTGCTATTATAATTTGTCATTAACCCTTCACCTCCCGACAAGATAGCCACATTTACAAATACATTACCATTATAAATATATTATTGGTTCTTTCGCTAAAGTCACGTTGAAGGGAAACAATAAAATAATAAAATATATATAAAACAATAAAATTCTCACGTCCTGAGACGTGAGAATTTTTTTATATATTTTATTTTTCACATATATTTTATTATTTTATTGTTTCCCTTCAACGTGACTTTACCGAAAGAACCAAGAATATGAATCACTGCAGTCACGAAAGTTTTAAATCAAAATTATAAATATTATTTATACGTCCCAATGTACCGATCAAATTCTGACCACCTCCTCTTTAAGACTCTTCTTGACACAATTAAACACCAACGTAAGATGACGTTTTTACTCAAACTGCCTTGAGCATCATCAGGTAATGAACTCGGAGTAATCGAGTGACGTTGCCTCAGAGACACCCCAACGTGACAACACCAACGGCCCGCCGTGACATCACCAACCGCCACAGCGTTGCTCGTTCCCATGTGTCCTTTGTAAGTTGGTCCATGCAGCCCTTCAGTTCAACAATTGTACAATTATATATAATTTATATCTTAACGACAAACTGTGCTGTCTAATTGGCTAATAGAGATATTGCACACTGCTTGTTGATCAAACGGTGGATGCGTAGATAGCTGTATACATTAAAATATTAGCACGCATTCTGCCCCTTAACCACCCTCGATGTTTTCAGTTTCTACTTAACTCAGTGTTAATGGTGGGGGGGAGGGGGGGGAGGAAATTTCAGTCAGACGATGACTGAATGCTTTTCTTGATTCTAAATATCGCTCACGTCCAATAGAAAGCTAGTGCGCATCAATGTTCTGGTATGAGTGTTGTGCGTGCGTGTGTGTGGGCTGTAAATTGTGGGGGGAGCGGTAGTTGTAGCGGTCAGCGTGCTGCACTACAAACCCAGCGATCCGCGTTGGCTTCCCGCTCAGGGCCAAGACTAGTGACGATTATCCGAACCGGTCCTGGGCCTCCCCTAGGTCTACTCAGCCTCAAATGAGTACCTGTTGCGGTGTGTAAACATCGTCACTGGGGAGACAAAGGCGTGGTGCTGGCCACCCACCCCCTCGTGTGCTGTGCCAGCCTTAATAGGTGCTCGTTAACAGTACTTGCCCCAACAGTCTGTTAAGGCTATACAGGGGATCTTTGTCTTTGTTGTAAATTGTGAGTTGTGTTGTAAATTATACCAACGTCTAATAATGCCCAATGTTGGAGTCGGTCAACGAAAACACAAAAGTTAAAACGCCAGGGCCCAAAAAGAACCCTTAACCCCAGTATTCGGTCGTGAAATTATCTACAATAATCCAGCAGTAGGTTCAAGAAAGATCGTACAATCAATATAGTAATGTATAGATGCAAAAACAAAGATGATTTATAGATCCCTCCCTGTAATAAGATGTATAATGTCTTGTATAAAGTCATGGAAGAGCTGGTGACGTGTACAGCAAAGACCTCATGCTCAGTGCCTTCGATTCCAGGGCTCCATGCTATGGCTAAAGTCCCACAGCATGGGTATCTGGGTTTGCAATCTCATCGCGATGTAGTACCTTCACTACAACAGTCTAAATTCCCGACTCGTGTATTGTAGATAAAAGTTCCTTTCCGATACAATTGTGATGAGATCCCACTGGCATATCTATAACCGCCAATAATACTGCAAATCGCCAGAGCGATTTGCAGTATTATTGAGCCTTGGTTTTGTCAAGATTTAAATCAGGCTCAAAGTGTCTCCATCAGCAGACACTCACTGATCTCAAGGTGTGACTCGGGGCATATACGAACGTGTGGTCCATGCTGTGTGTGATTAATACCTGCAGCGCTGCCACCGTATGAAAGGAAGGAGGATCCCGTCTGCTGATGCTGCTGCTGGTGTTGGTGGTGATGATTGGTGAGATGGTGGATAAAGTGTGGCCGACTTTTCTCTGCCGGCGACAGACGGGTGAGGCTTGGCGAGCTGCCAGGTGAACAATTCTGGTGCCACGTTGGACTCAGGCCGGTGGCAAATTCAGACGATCCATGACCAGGAGGTGGTGCGTACAGAGGTGGATGATGATGATGAGGTAGAAGATGAGGTGCCTGGTCAGCGCTGGAGAAGCCCGTGCTCCCCACGAACAGGTGGTGGTGCACCGCGCTCAAGTCGCCGACGGAGTGGCTGCTGCCTTGAATAAAACCCAAACGGGACCCCACGTCCTGCAGGACGTCTGTCGCGTCCACCGCACGCACGTCCTTGGACCCGTGCGTCCCGGCGCCCAGGTGGCCCAGTGAGCCCTTGCTCAGCTCGGAGGACGTGAGCTCGTCTCCCTTCCCGAAGCACGCGTCCGCCCCCAGGCCCAGCTGCTGCCCCGAGCTGGGCCGCCCGTCATCGGCTCTTTGACTCTGGCGACGGTCACGGCCGCCGGGTGACCCCTGCAGCCACCGCCTTGCTCCGTTGCCCCCGCCCGTGTACCCGTCTCCTCCGAAGGTCGCCGCCGACTGCGGCCCATCATCAGCCACCGTGCAGGAGCCGAGCGCTTCCTTCCCCCTCCGCGCCATCGTCGCCGAAGCCTCCTTGAGACTGCACGTTGCCCCTTCCGCATACGCGACCTTCGTGAAGCTGGGCGACTTTGGTAGATCTGGCCCTGAATGTTGATTAGCGTGGTGCAGGGCAGACCTAGGAACGTCCATCCCGAGTGCCAGGTGGTGCTGCAGATGCCCGTACGACTGTTCGTGGAGCCCATTGCTGTGAAGATGATTGGTTTCGTGGTGATGGTGTTGTAGGTAGTCATGCTGATGGTGTTGCTGCTGCTGTTGCTGATAACTGTGATGGTCTTGGTTATGCTGGAGCTGCTGATGAAGGATCTGATGGGGAGGCGGATTATGATGGTGGTGATGTGGCTGATCGTGATGATGGAAAGCCGTCGAGGTCAGCCCCACCAGCCCGTAGTGCAGCAACGCCTGGCTGCCTCGGTACGCCTGACATTTGAGCCTGAACCCCCGCGGCCTCCGTCGAAACGATCCCTCCTCAAACATGAACTCGCTGGCCGGGTCGATGGTCCAGTAGTGGCCCTTGCCTGGCCGGCCCAGGCCCTTGGGCAGCTTCACAAAGCACTCGTTGAGCGAGAGATTGTGTCGCACGGAGTTCTTCCAGCCCTGGTAGGCGCCGCGGAAGAACGGAAAACGACCCTGCAGGAACTGGTAGATCTCGCTGAGGGTGACTCGCTTGGCCGGTGAACTCTGGATCGCCATGACGATGAGGGCGATGTAGGAGAAGGGAGGCTTCTCGGGCCGACGCTGGGCCCCGGGGCTGTGTCTCTTGTGGCCGCAGGGCCGTGTGGCCTCCGAGCCAGGTGACTTTAAAGGCGCGTGGACGCTTGAAGACACCTCCATGGTCATCGTCCCCTCTGCTCAGCGAACAGCACGTGCCACGCACACATAGGCCCATCAATCATCATCAGCAGTAGCACCAGCAACATGAATCGGCAGCAGCAGCTTATGGTTTATGCACTGCTGGATGAAACCTTTCCAACGAGACGACGCATAATCATTCTCCGCACAAAGCTGTATGCTGCGTGTCGGTCATTTGTTTTTAGCTTGAAGAACTGGGACAACAAAGGTCAAGTCGCCCTGAAATGTACCCAATCACGTGAAATTTTGTAAGATAAGCAGGTCTGAACCTGGTTAGTGCTCGGAAAGGTGACCACCAGGGCTTTCCAGGTGTTGTAGATGTGGAGCTGTAAGGTATGGCAAGTAGATGGCAATGTTGATTGTTAGTCCCGTATGTGCATATTAGGTTTTCTATAGGTACTCCGGTTTCACCCATTCAAAAACACTCCCGAATAGTATTTTCCAAAGAACCCAATGTAACATTCCCTTGAGAATGCATCTTGAGGCTCATGAGATGCACAGCCATCTTAGAACACAATGATATCTGCGTACACCGCACCTCCGATTAGTATGGTTCGCTACGTACGGTGCGAAAGAAGTTAAACATACATCACAGGCATGAACCACCACGTCTGGCTCTGTAGGTTCATCAAAGCACGTGTGCTTGAAAATTCGAATGCTTCATCACCGCCAGGAAACACGACCTTGCAATTTGCGCGAATAATTAATTGCGATGGTGCGTGGATGGACGCCTCGCTGAGCCGTCGCCATCTCTCACGGTCGAGCGATACAAGCTAGACTAAACTAAAAGCTTTTTTTATTTTACTAGGTAAGGCCCACTGAGCTATACAGCTCTTTTTTCAAAGGCGACCTGGCTATCATAAGTTATAGCTCAACGAAGTGGCTTATGTGGAAATGTATAGCGGCCAAATACTCTAAAGCAGTGGTTCTTAACCTTTACTGCATCCTTGCATCCCTTTGGTTCCCAATCTTAAACATAAAAAAATACATATGGTATGATGAAACAAAGTAGTTGTACTCACGTGCCCTTACGTCATTTGTGTTTCGGTGATTTACCATCTTAAAAAATCTGGCATGTCTCGCACCCCCAGGAAGGGCATCTCGCACCCCCAGGGGGTGCGTGCACCCCAAGTTAAGAACCACTGCTCTAAACGCACGTTGATTCTAAATGTGGAGGGAAAATCAGAGGACATGGCGAAAAATCCACACAATCACGGCGAGAGAGACATGCAAACCCCAAATATACAGACGTCAGGGTCGGGATCGAACCCATGACGACCTCCTGTATACCAGGCGAGGTAGTTAACATCTAGCCACCGCGACAAACGGCACCGTCGCACGAACTGAACGCATTGCAGTCCACCTCTAAGTCGCGTTCGCTCCTTTGGTTGCTGCTCTGCTGCCAGCCTCGACCCACCGTTGACGATGCTAGCCGCGACGTGTCCTGCCCATGCCCTGCATTTACTCTTCATAGCAATTTCAATGATGAAGTTAACCGGCATGTTTTTTTTCACTCATTCCACGTGTTCCCCTCTCTCTCTCCCCCAGGGTAATTCCAAGCATGCACTTCTCATTGCTTATTTGTGCACTTTTGGCCGTCGGTATATTTTCTTTCTCAATCCATCAATTAATCCCTTAACTTCGTATATTTAGAGATCACCATGCATGCACTAAATAGCGAGTGAGAATATATTTTTTGATGAATGGAAAATGATGTGCGAATTACTATGCTGGTGATGTTGCATTAATGATGATCGAGTGAATAAAACTATACAAACAGGAACAACACGAAATCAGACTATGTTGTGAAAGCCTCTGGAAGTATCATGATTGACCTATTATTTTATTGGGCTGGACAAAATCTTTACCACATTTTTGGAGCTCAACGATGGTTATTTGATAGGTGTATTCGCTCTTGTCATAGGAATGTGGAATTGTCACTGCCGCCAGTAGCAGTGAGCGCCATTCCACCATGGTCCAATCAGGAGGGCAAATTAGTTTTAATTATTAAAATACGGTAATGTTTTTTTCGTAACATTTGTATAGTCATTCGCATTATTCCCGTTAAATGTTGAATAAATGAGATAAAAACAAATATGAGGCGAAAGGCAAAGTGTTTCGTATTGTCGACTTTAGCGTTGCGCTCTACAGGAGGCGAATTACTCGGTTCACTGATGATAGGGCTCGTGTATGCGTGAGTGCGTGAGTGTTTAGTGTGAGGCGTAGCTGCGTGGAACTCGAGGCTGCCATGTGAGTGGAACCAGCGATTAAGACTACTCACGCTCGTAATTAGGTTCACAAATATACCGTGTACATTTTTAGGTTTCATGATTTTTAAAAATTATTATAATCTACTAGATTGGGCAAGATGTCACCTCATTAGCCCTTCAAAAATAAATACATTTACAGATTTCCACCCCTTCTAGATCAGCAATATAACTTACACCAGTCAACTAGGTCAAACAACGCCTCAAACGAATTGAGTCGAATTATACCGCCTCCCCCTCTCCCACGCGACCCTGTTTACCAACAAGTCTGGTCAAAACAACTCGCATGGTCGTCACGGCATGGGCACGCATTGAATAAGCAGTGGATTAAGAAATTACTTTCCATTATTGTTATACAAACATCTGTATATACAGGTAGTCCCCAACCTGCGATGGAGATGCGTTACGACGACCCCATCGTAAGTCGAAAATATCGTAAGTCGAAAATGGCCTAGCCTACCCAGGAGTCTTAAAGAATGGTGATAATTTAGCAAAACAGAGCAATTTACATTACCGTACTGTATAAACTATATACTGTATGTATTATTAATAACAATACTGTATTGCACAGTAATTTCTTTAGTAAAAAACAAGGTAAATTCTTAGCCTACCTATATGAACTGCAATTTCATAGAAAGTTTTTTTCAGGAAACAATTCTACAGTGAGAGAAAAAAGTATTTGATCCCCTGCTGATTTTGTACGTTTGCCCACTGACAAAGAAATGATCAGTCTATAATTTTAATGGTAGGTTTATTTGAACAGTGAGAGACAGAATAACAACAAAAAAATCCAGAAAAACGCATGTCAAAAATGTTAAAAATTGATTTGCATTTTAATGAGGGAAATAAGTATTTGACCCCCTCTCAATCAGAAAGATTTCTGGCTCCCAGGTGTGTTAAAGGGAGTGCTCCAAATCTCAGCTTGTTACCTGTATAAAAGGCACCTGTCCACAGAAGCAATCAATCAATCCGATTCCAAACTCTCCACCATGGCCAAGACCAAAGAGCTCTCTAAGGATGTCAGGGACAAGATTGTAGACCTACACAAGGTTGGAATGGGCTACAAGACCATTGCCAAGCAGCTTGGTTTGGTGACTACAGTTAGTGCGATTACTCGCAAATGGAAGAAACGCAAAAGAACTGTCAATCTCCCTCGGCCTGGGGCTCCATGCAAGATCTCACCTCGTGGAGTTGCAATGATCATGAGAACGGTGAGGAATCAGCCCAGAACTACACGGGAGGATCTTGTCAATGATCTCAAGACAGCTGGGACCATAGTCACCAAGAAAACAATTGGTAACACACTACGCCGTGAATGACTGAAATCCCGCAGCGCCCGCAAGGTCCCCCTGCTCAAGAAAGCACATATACATGCCCGTGTGAAGTTTGCCAATGAACATCTGAATGATTCAGAGGACAACTGGGTGAAAGTGTTGTGGTCAGATGAGACCAAAATGGAGCTCTTTGGCATCAACTCAACTCACCGTGTTTGGAGGAGGAATGCTGCCTATGACCCCAAGAACACCATCCCCACCGTCAAACATGGAGGTGGAAACATGCTTTGGGGGTGTTTTTCTGCTAAGGGGACAGGACAACTTCACCGCATCAAAGGGACGATGGACGGGGCCATGTACCGTCAAATCTTGGGTGAGAACCTCCTTCCCTCAGCCAGGGCATTGAAAATGGGTCGTGGATGGGTATTCCAGCATGACAATGACCCAAAACACACGGCCAAGGCAACAAAGGAGTGGCTCAAGAAGAAGCACATTAAGGTCCTGGAGTGGCCTAGCCAGTCTCCAGACCTTAATCCCATATAAAATCTGTGGAGGGAGCTGAAGGTTCGAGTTGCCAAACATCAGCCTCAAAACCTTAATGACTTGGAGAAGATCTGCAAAGAGGAGTGGGACAAAATCCCTCCTGAGATGTGTGCAAACCTGTTGGCCAACTACAAGAAACGTCTGACCTCTGTGATTGCCAACAAGGGTTTTGCCACCAAGTACTAAGTTATGTTTTGCAGAGGGGTCAAATACTTATTTCCCTCATTAAAATTCAAATCAATTTATAGCATTTTTGACATGCGTTTTTCTGGATTGTTTTGTTGTTATTCTCTCTCACTGTTCAAATAAACCTACCATTACAATTATAGACTGATCATTTCTTTGTCAGTGGGCAAACGTACAAAATCAGCAGGGGATCAAATATTTGTTTCCCTCACTGTATCTGCTATAAAAAAACTTTTAACATGCATTGAACGTATGTATCGTATCGTGGTAACCCTAAAATAAAATCGCTATAGCTATGTTATCATACATGCATTGAACGTATCGTAACGTATCATATTGTACTGTACTCACCAAGATTATGTTCGTCGTCTGCATACTTGAACGATGTTAAGTTGTTGATGGCTACATTAACTTAGTTGTCGGAAGAGGAGGATGGCGATGATAAAGTTACAGTATCGTACCTCGTACGCTGCTGCGTTTGCCTGCCGCGCGAAATTAAAAAATATTTTACAATTTTGTCATATCGCCATCGTAAGATCGAAATATCGTAAGTCGGACCATCGTAAGTCGGACCATCGTAAGTCGGGGGCTACCTGTGGTATGAAAAAAAACCTAAATGAGAAATTATTTTAATCTACACCGAGTTTTTATGGAATATCTGAATATATGGAGGTGAAAGCTGGACAATTACAGAGACCCTACAGAACAAATTGGAGGCAATATAATAGGGGGTTTTTAATAAAGGGGATATTAAACATTTCATGGACAGACACACGATGAGTGACATAAATGTGTTACGGATAGCAGCAGGGTACACAAAAAGAAAATGAGTGATCATAAATAGAGAAGTGAAAAGTTATATTTCTTAGATATATGAGAAATCGAGAGACTGAATCGAAATGTTGTTTTGAATGGTGTATACCACGAGAATCCGGGAAAAGTCGAAAAGTAAGTTACAGAAGAAGTTTGAACAATCTGATGCAAACTTTTAGAATTTTCTTTCGTACGGCTGATCTAGATGCAATAACTAAAATTTCACATGCATGTAATCACGCCAGATGATAGCGTCAGGAACAGTGGAGTTGTTTCTCATCGCTGTGATGTCTTCGTATTTGTTTATCGGGAATTGCGTCGTTATACGTTGTACGGTCTGTTCTGGATGACCACAGTCGCACACTGGAGAGTTTTAAATGTTCTCTTTGTGCATCGGGTATCCGTATCTGCTATGGTTAGTGCAGTGGATGCGGTTTAGGGTGGACCATGAGCTCAGTGCTGGATTATCCTCGTAGCAAAAGTAGCTGCATGCGCTACGGGCCCCGCACTTTCAAGAGCCCCGCGCTAAATGCTTTCAAGCTATCAATTCCGGTTCAGTGATTCTGCACTTGCTCCATTACTATAGTACTATACCGCCCTTCAACTTTTATGAACGACTGGGTGTTTAAGGTTATCGATTTGTCGTAATATCTGGCTGTATACCAAATGAAAAAATACAATTATTTTACTATGCAAGTAAAAAAAAATTGGGTTTTATATTTGTGTTTTTTTAGGGCCCCTTTATAACATATGCTACAGGCCTCGCACTCGCTTCATCCGGCACTGCATGAGCTTCGTGGAAGATCAACACCAGGGATCTTCTGCACTGGGTCTTCATCATCATATGCCACGATCGCCGATGTCTTTGAGAAAGGACCGTGACTCACATGGAGAAATCGAGATATATTGTGCATGTGTTTGTAACGCAATTATAATTAAGTGCGAACTAATTTCAACATTCATAATGACTGCAATTTGTATGTAATTATGTGAGCGAATACTCCATGTAAATGGCGTTAATCGTTGGATGTCGAGCATAATTTAATAATATCCTTAAACACATATTTAGTACAAGATAATGGATACTATATAAACTATATATGGATATTAACTCATATTTTTGTTTAGACAATACAAAAAGGCACAGGCGCATACACAATCCACATCACTTTCATTATTAATATATTTAATCCGCAACAAGTTCGAACAACTTCATTATTTTGCAGTAGCACATGTATAAATAGAGCTATGCATTTCATACAATACATAGCGTGCATATTATATTAAACTGTTGAATAATGTATCCACAAAATACGATTTGTTGTATATTACGGATACAATATGCGCAACAAACTACGAAGTTCCATTAGTTCTGTAAGACTGTTAAACTAGTGTTGTTAGCTAGCGCCTATTAAGGCTGGCACAGCACACGGAGTAATTTTGCAACTCCCCATTAGCGCTTTAATATAGATGTTTACAACCATATAAAGTGATCATTTATGGCATGCTATTTGGCTCTTTCGGTAAAGTCACGTTGGTACCGACGAGTATGGATCCCTGCAGTCACGAAAGCTTCAAATCAAGATTGATCATTTATGGCTGAGTCAACCTAGTGGAATGTCAGGTTTAGATTCCGCTTACGTGCCGGTCTTCATAAGCGCTCGCTAACAGCACTTGCCCCAACAGTCTGTGTAAGCTACACCGAGGATGTTTATCTTTGTATGGTGCAGCAATTAGCGCACTGGGCGACAACTCAGTCGCGACCTCGATTTAATTCCAAGCTATGGCTATGACCAATTGGATGAGTGATATCTGAACATGTCTTGAGCCTCTCCCAGGTCCACTCAGCTTTAAACGAGTATCGGCAGCACTCCAGCGGCAATGACATAACTCGTGCGCCGTGCAAAGCTTAATAGGTGCTCACTAACAACACTTTATCCAACAGTCTGTTAAAGGCTACCCTGACCCCAATGCTGTGACCATACCTCTAGCAAGAACCCTGACACACCGAGACCTAACCCTAGCGACTTTGAACTTCACCCTTCATCTCGCTCTTGTACGTAATCATGTTGGATCAATATCTTTGCCAGGGATTAAATTGGCCAGCATATGTCCCGATGGGCGACCAGGAAAATACGTCTGCGCCCGGCACACCACATCGAGTATCGTTCTCAACATGCCTGTGTGGCTACAGCGATACACGCGCTTACTCCAGCCTACCAGTTGACCCAGAACAGTCATTGAGACGTGACTCACCCGCGCGCGCGCGTGCGTGTGTGCGTGTGTGTACACGTACCTGTGTATGTGCCACTGGAATAAGCCTCAAGCATAGAGAAGAGCGAAGTGGGAAGTTGCCGGTGGTTATCACTGCGATGCACGGGAAGGGAGGGAGATGCACGGGGAGGAGGAGGAGGAGCGGTCGCGCGCTTGGGATGGAAGGGGTCACGGACAACATTGAGCCGTGGGGTTGAGTGTGGTGGTGGTGGGGCTGGTAGTTGGGGGTGAGGTTGGGCTGGCTGGGGAAGTGGAGGGGTCTACATACACCCCCTGTCCCCCTTCCCTCCCCTCTCCCCACCCTCGAGGGATCTACTCTAAAACTTGTGGAGCATAAAGAATTCATGCGGTGACATTCAGCGGTGCAAGCTGTATCACCACGAATGCGTGTACAGCTCTTCGTGCCGTGAAGTCACTGTTGGCCGGATGAGGGCCTCCCCAAGTCGGATGGGTCGTGAGTGTTGTTTGACCATACTTCACCCAACTATAAGTAGAGTACAACAATGTGTGTTGCTGCCCTGCCCTCTGCTGCCCGCAAATATAAACTAACAAGTGTAGGACTGTACTCATCTCCCTATCCCAGGGTTCTTCATTGCAAGGCCCGCGTGCCACTGATGGCCCCTGGTGGACTTTAGTGCGGCCCCGGACAACAACACGCAACATGCCAAAACACCTCCCCATCATCGTCGTGGTGTCAACACCAACAATGTGGTGGCCCACACACCGATTGTGTCTTATCGGCGAATGTGGCCCTCTCTGAAAATTCGTGAAGAACAGTGTACAGCAGCATACGTAGAGGTTCTTCATTCAGCCGTGGATAAAAATTACGGCTCGTGATTATTATAACGTAGCGACCTCTAGTGGCTGCAGGTGTCACGCGAATCCATTGCATACAAACAAACATATTCCAGCCGTTCTTATTCCACCACACGAGTCTTATTCCACCACACGAGTCTATAGGCACGGTCATAGTGAGTGAGCTCAATATCGGCGTGAACCAATTGATGGGCCACACCGCTGATAATTAATTAGACGATGCCCGGATAACGACGAGTCTGGGCATGTGCCTGATGAAGGTAGTTGTAATTACTGGCGAAACGTCGTACTCAGATTGTAAATGTTGTGGCTTGGCTCTCCAACACTACCGGTGTGCTGTACTAGTTACGAATTGGCCACGTTCTGTTTACGTGACAACCCTTACTAGTTGGCTGTGTCGGGTGGTGGCGGGTTGAACGACACATTTATATATTTACGCGATCTAACCCAAAAAATACCTGCATTATAAATGAAGTGTGACTATAAACAAGTTTTTTTTTAAATTTAATTTTACCAGGTCATATCCCACTGAGCTATAATGTAGCTCTTTTTCAGATTCGACCTGGCCATAAATGATAGCTCAACGAAGTGGCTTATCACGTGGTTATTTATAGCAGCCAAATACTCTAAACGCATGTTTCTAAATAGTTATTTCCTTTTTTTATTACCAATTTGATTCTCGCTTATACATTTTTTTTAATTAAAGCGTTAAACTAAAACCCTGCACTAAATTTCGATGTAAAGCTTTCGTGACTGCAGGGATTCATATTATTGGTGCTTTACTAAATGTTAATCATTATTACTATTAAATAACCGAAACGAGTCTTGAAATACAATATGTAATAATACAACGGTGGGGTGAGGGTGGAAGAGAAATATGTACAGGAGTGTAATTTGTACAAAAACATTTTTAAAAATACGAGAACTTAATGAATGTTGACACGCCCAAAATAGATGCCTGTATACTGTATCCCCTATAAGATTTGATTTAGATTCATCGTGATGTCCCTACACATGACCCTAATCCCTGGACCAGGTGGCTCAGCGGCAGAGCAATCGGAAGAAGGTCGCGAGTTCAAATCCTGGCCGTCGTGGTGCGGAAGGCAACAGTGATTATAATCATTTGGATATACTCGCCCCGCCATGGGAACGTCGAATTTCCACCACTGGCTCAGGCCTGTAAACGAGACACTGATTTACCTGCGATGAAGAAGGACCATTTCCCGAAACGTCGCCTATTTATGTTTGTACTGTTATATATTGTAATGATTCGGTTTTTTCTTCTTATTATTATTAATGGGCTGGGGAACACGGGACATGGATCTGCGCGATGCCTTTTAATCGCTGCGCACTAAAAAACCCTACAGCGCATGGGCATCGCACGCCTCCGCAGCCAATCCGATTGGGCGGATTGCTTTGCCCTCGGCCAATCGTGCGAGCGGCAACGAAATCTGACGCGGCGAGCTGACCAATGGGGAGACTCGTCTCACTGGTGATGCGTGTGCAGCGTAGGAAATGTAATCCATTCGCCCGAACGCCTCGCGTAGCAACCAAGGGAGTGGTTTGTTTAGTCTTCGGTTGTTCGCGTGACAAGGCAACAATGGTTGGTTTATTTCAAACTTTATCACGATTAAAAATGGTGTTTAAGTGTTTATAATGTTTCTGGCTGTACTGGTGGCGTTATGCGTCGCGTAGTTTGTATGTAGAGTCTATTTCATGTTGTGTTGAGTTGAGGCCTTCGCTATCCTTTGCGTAGGCCCCGATGTTGAACCGTCATTTAAATAAGCATTACATGCTTTTTATATTGATAGTACAAGCTTCACGTGTTTTATTAGGTACGATAATGATTAACAGTGGTTATGGTGTTAAAATCAATATATTGTCCTTTCAATTGCGGTTCAGTTTACAGTATTCTATCCCTATGTTGTAAATAATTTAAACTACACTATCAACGTTGATGAGGTAACTCCAAACACAAAAATGCATAATTTTAAAATCGGCCATTTAATACTGAAATGTGATAGTATTACGTACCGTTGTTATGTATAATATGATGTATATACAAGTTGTTTGTCCAATGCAAACACCGGTCTGACACTTACCGCCACACGTTTCCTGGAGGCGGGGAAATACTTAAACCTTTTAGCTCTCATTTAAGAGGTGTGGAGTACGGATGGCATCCATGTAGATTTTTTTAACATGCAATGACGCTTCGTATTCTGTCGTCGATTTACATCGCCCTTGTACAGCAGGTGGCTTAATCCACTGCTAGATGAATGCATCAGCCTCTTGTGTGGGTTGTGTGAACATACTGCTTGTCGGTGTGAGTTGATGACTGGGGGTTCGGGGAGGATCCCAGAACTGGTTCGGATATCAATCGCCACTCGCATTGTGTACCGCGCGGCAGTCCACTAATAACGATACGACTGCGCTTCTCCAGTTAATGGTGTATCACTTTATAACCATAATTATGCACCATAATAATTATATTCTTTGGGTCTTTCGGTTAATGTCACGTAGATAGGTTCAAAGAAAATAACAAAAACTACGACGTTTCGATCGCAACACAAGCGGCCGTCTTCAGGAAAAAAAAAGACCCAAAGATTAAGTCACCATAATAATTGTTTACACCAATATATTATTGTTAGGGTTCGACTTAAGTTACGAAGTAAGGTTACGTAGGTTTCTTTTGTGCCAATAGCCGCTTGCGTAAACCATTACGTTTTGAATTTATTTAAAGACAAACTAATTCAATTAATTTGCATTACGAAACATGCTCATAGTCGTTTTCGTGTGTTAGTTACACGAGTGTTAAAAGCTACATGCTCTGAGCTCGTAGCCAGTACAGTAGTTTAGTTAGTATGTCGGTTACTGGGACTACGTGTTGGACAATCAGAAGGAAGTGCAGCAAAATCCATTGTACTGAATTGTACTTTTATGCTACCACGCCTAGCTCCCGGCCTTCAACTCGCACTGACCAGCGTGGTGAAGCATGGTATAATATCACCACGACCTGCATAGTGTAGGCATGAACTCATCCAGCATTCGATTCACGAAAGCATTGTGCTTGTACATCGATTTAAACAAAAAACAGTACAAAAAGGGATTGTGTCGACTTAATTATGGTTATTAGGTAGGATGAGTTTTGTAACTCTCTTTATTAACTAGCATTCTGCCCGTCCCAGGACGGGTGTATTGCATTAAATCTGAAACTTGCAAGCGAAAATCAGACCGCGACGTGATATTCATTGCTTCAATTCGTGTGCAATTTGTAAGGCTGCAGTGACACATACTTATTGAATTTAAAGGTTATAATCCCTTGCTCATCATGGTTACGGTAGCATTACGTTCGGGTGCTATTAGGTACGGCCGTCTAACGATGAATCACGGTTGTCTTTGATACCCAGTCTGAGGTGGAGGAGACTCTGAAGAGGATTCAGACCCACAAGGGGGTGATTGGAACCATCGTGGTGAACGCTGAGGGTGAGCGCCGTGGCACATGCCGGGTCCCAATTGTTCACTGGAACAAGGGCAGTGAATCCAGCGAGGTGTCGTCATAGTGCATACGTGGCCCTTTCTGTCAATCCACAACTGGACGAGGGCCTCCTCGTGCCATGTGGGTTGTGGGGAGTAGCAATAGTAAACGTTTATCTGGAGATGGAAAACAACCCATGAAGACAACATTTGCATGGTTTGTCCTAGGTTAAATCACAAGTTTACTTTAATGTTATACAGGTAAAACAGACCATCCGCAACACAAATATGAAAAATACGCTTAAGATGAAATTCCACCAAACATTTGTAGTAAATAAGAATCAGAAATAATTAACCAAATATTAAGTTAGTAATACAAAAACTATAGATTATAAAAATGAAGGAAGTCAATCTAGCGCCTCAGTGAAAATTGACGGTTTTCGAAAGATTCAAGGCACGTGAAGATTAATCGGTTAAAATTCTTATGCTCTCGACATGTGCATCGAATTGTGTGTGGAACAATATATTTTAAAATCATACAGAATTGACGCTACTTTTTAATGATGGTTGTGACAAGTGAACTAAAACATGAGATCAAATAAATGATAGTGCAGACAAGACTGAAATTATACAGACGGTACACATGGGAAAATACAAACAATTACAAACTATGTACTTAGGGGGGGGGGGGCGTTGTATAAAAGTCTTCAACAAAATAAAATGTGGACATTGCCTTGTGCCACCGTCGCCCTCTCTACAGGCATCCCGATCCGCACGACGCTGGACAACTCGACGACGGTGCAGTACGCAGGCCTCATCCACCAGCTGACGATGAAGGCGCGCAGCACGGTGCGAGACATCGACCCGCAGAATGACCTCACCTTTCTGCGCGTGCGCTCCAAGAAGCACGAGATCATGGTGGCGCCCGGTGGGTCTGGGGCGCAGCGACACGGGGGGCCCTGCCGCCCAAAGTTGTGGTGGTGGCCGCAGTCGTAGCGGTGATAGTTTAATGGATTCATAATAACGTTTATTGGCATATTTCTGAAGCTAACTCATGTTGAGCCTTATATAGTGCTTGGATGGGTGACAACCATACATTAATGGGTTGCCACAGGGCTTGGGCGGCAACGTGGTGAGCAGTAAAGGTCGGAGCAGAAAAATACATGGCTGTACGCTACTTCTATGTCAGTCCACCGCTGTGAGGGAGCTACACGAATTGATTTTAAGAAGCTCCCAGAATGTGGAGGAAAATGTGAGACCTGCAAAAATACGTGGTACAACCCGAAAACACGTCAGAGCTCTACAGCACAACAGCAAACACACATACACAGTAGTAGTTGATTACAATGTAATTTAAATTTATGTTCCATTGTGTTTCCCCATCGCGAATGCAGACAAGGAGTACCTGCTGATCGTCATCCAGAACCCGAGCGAGTGACATGGCTGTGTGATTTCTGTGTGCACATCACCCACCACGGGGTCCAGCTCCAGCAGAATTCAGTCCAGCTCTTCAGTCCAGAGTTCACCTCCAAACACTCTGTCTTGGGGTTTTACAACAAAATATGCCTGTGTCATCCCGATGGCTGTGGTTAATTCCACTTATATAGTGTGTATTAAAAAATATTAATTTTATTTACAAGTTTTTTCTATTTTGTTGGGCACTAAAAAAGTTGACAAAATACATTTGATATATATGTTCATAAAATGTTTTAAAACTGCACAAGGTTCTGATGTAGAAATTAGTGAACATCAATACATTTTGAGCGTGCAGGGTCAACTGAAAAAAAAAATTCAACAAAACCCTTTGTTTCAAAATGCAATTTGAAGGCAATCGTTGACTGATATTTTTTCATTAACTACTTGACGTTTATTAAAGCTGGCTTTTACATCAGCATTAAACCTTTCTTTGTTCCAAGAGTGATTGGTCTGAGTTGATCCTTAACCAACCCTATTGTAAGCTAAGTTGTTCTCCCACAGCATCACCCAACCGGCGACGACTAATTTATTTCACACACTACTTATGACTAACCACCTTCATATTAACGAAGTGATTGATACTCTCACTACACTCCTCATACATAGTAATTATGATTTTGTGCACAAAGTGCCACTGTAAATCTTCAAAACGTCTTTAGAGCTGTTCCCAGTGACCATCTAATGTTCAATCATCTGGCCCCAGTTTCCCCATTCATTCTTTGGAATTACAAATGTGGGATTCAGAATTTTGGGGTCTAAAATCTACAGCCAGTGGCTGGCGATGACTTCCTATTACTTTTCTGCGTCTACTGTTTGTCTGCTCCCTGATATTTCTTAAAACAGGTCTGACTTGGGCTGCTGTCTCATCTACGGTTACATTGTATTTCAGGCTTTTACCTTGCACTGTTATGTTAGATTTGCGTTACCCAAACTCGCAGTAATTCGCTAAATGTCCTTATTTCTGTTTCATTGATGCTGTAATAAAAATGTACGTCACAACGTGATTTTTCTCCATTAGTATTCTTATTCACTAAGTGAATCCTCACCTGGCCTCAATTGTCAGAAAGAAAAACTAGCATTCATCGTTAAGTTGTACAAATTTTTTGTTATATTTTGGAAAATTATTTCATCGTAGGAGGGTTCTGCATGGAGAGATGCATACTTGGAATTATATTGAGATGCAGTCAACATGGAATAGAGAACATGAAGGTTAAGTAAAGTAAGCATACTTGAATAGGACACGTCGCAAGAATGGATTATGGCAAATGATCAAGAATTGTGATGGGAGTGGCATCTAACATGGAGTACATCGAAGAGGATGTCTGCTGAATAAATGGAGTGATCAAAAGGACAATGCGGTGCTTGGTAGATTGTTATATCGCATGTGCCATGGAATAATTTATAAAACCTTGCCGTACTGCCTTTAGGGTTCGCTGCGTTATTGCCTCGTGAGTTCGTGTACCTGGTTAACTCAATGCCCATTCCCACGTCACCGATTTATAGGAATCGAACTTCTCAAAAGTAGGCGGTTGGCAAAACTGACCACAACATCTGTGGTTAGCTGCGTAGATTCCTTACACCAGTGAAGTAACTTTATAAATATATGACATCATGCATAACAGTCATTGGTGAATAATCATGTAAGAATCTACCAATATAAAATTATAACGATAAAATGTATATCCATACGGTAAGCTAGAACGATATAAAAGACCTTTGTAAACTCGTTGATCGTAAACAGTGGTTTCCAAGAGTAACCAGCGAACAAATGACGTCATGCATGCAGAGCGTCCGGTTGAATGTTTCAATTTCCTTGCAGTTACTTCGCAACTTAGGATGACCTCACAACATGGACAATTCGTTAAAAGATCGACGTTCATTCCTCATTTTTATTTCTCAGAGCCACGTTGGGTCAGGCAAGGAAGGGAGTACGCTCGATTGAAGGAAAATTCGACTGCGCCCTATCAACAACAGGAGTACGAGTCGGCGGTCGGGGAATTCCCGTGCCCGCAAGCACTCCCAATCTAAACACACTTTATTGTTAAGTACTGAGCAATGTACACAACAACAACGACAACGACGACGACGAGAGGTCGTCATCCAGGAGTTGTTTTAAAAATGACCGGACAAATATATAGTACCGTGGTGCGTGCGTCTCTCCAGCCAAATTACGCAGTGATATGAAAATGTTTCCCGCAAATGTTGTTCTCGATTGTGCGATAGGTTTCACGAGACATAACAAGGGGCCGTCTATAAATGACGTCACGCACCTGGGGGGGGGGAAGGGGTCAGACATTTGTGACGATGTGTGACGAGGTGGGGGGGTTTGAGAAATGTGACGTCACATCAAAATGCGCAACTTTAAATAAATATAGACAAAACGTTCTACTTAATTAAATAGACGTTTTATTAAATGATTTCTCCTACAACATCAGAGTGCAGCGCCACATTAAATACGCACTACAATGACAATAGTTTAAAAGATTTGAAGCATGTTTTTTTATGGAAATATGGGTTTGTGACGTCATATTTTAGGGGGTCTGACTTTTTGTGACGTCGTGTGACGAGGGGGGGAGGTTAAAAATCGTCCAAAATCGCGTGACGTCATTTATGGGCGGCTCCTATGCTAAAAGAAGTTCAACATACATAGAAGGTATTTAAGTAATACTCACCTATCAATCCAATTACCTCGCTACCCACCTACCCATCCATTCATCTGCCGATTTAGAAGGTATAAACCCACATACCTATCCACCAACCGGACGACGAATCACATAACAATAGCTACCTACTAAGTTATATACCCAATTACCTACCTACTCATCCACCCACGTACAAACCTACTTATCTAACGATATTAATTTGCGTCGTTGTTAAGCATATAAGTAACAAAACAGATACGCAGAGAATACACATATTCACTTACCTGTCCCGCACAAATAGTATGTTTTAGACATCATACACGGCCTTCTGGGAGTGCATCATTTCAGAAGCGTTTGTTCATTTTTTTTTCTGTATTGAACCAAAGTTTGCTGAAATTGTGTGCTGCCTAAAAGGGCCTTTTGGCTGATGAGATGTGTAATAAGTAATATTTAAAAAGACTTAAAAAAACACGCTATAATGAAATGTACCGTACTAGTAATGTCAGAACTCCACGACTCCCAAGAAGTGGCCCCGAAGCTTGCCACAGCGTAAGGCCAATTACAGCCGTCAGTTGAGTGTGGACAATTAGACCCAAGCCGAAACATAACATATAAAAAAGATTGTTTAAAGATATGTTTTATTTTTAATGATATAATATAGTATTGTCATCAGTATCACATACGTATACCAAGTTTGCAGTCGATACCACATTGGGAAGTGAGTTAAAATTGAGTAACAAGATTTGAGGATTCGACAACGATAGTGAGTTAAATAAAAGCGTGTAAAAAATACTTTTTTATGTGAAGGATAGGTAACAGATACAGTATATGAAGGACGCGTATTGTCCGCTTATCTATTTTGTGACTTACATTCTAGACGCAAATTAATATTGTTAGGTCAGGAGGTTAGTAAGTATGTAGGAATGTGATAAATTAGTCGGTGGGAATGTTGGTGGGTAGGAAGATGTGTTTCTACGGTCTACCTAGGCATATAGATGGGTAGGTTGGTGGGTAGGGAGCTAATTGGATTGGAAGGTGGATAGGTGGGTGGATAAGTAGGTCATTTGACAGATGGATAGGTAGGTGGGTGGGTAGGTGGATTTTTTATTTCTCCGTAGACAAAATGTATATATAGGTAGGTGGTTTGGCAGGTAATTGTATTTCTCGGTGGGTGGGTAGGTGTGTGTTCTACTTCATAGGTGGGTAGGTGGGTAAAGTAGGTAGGTGGGTAGTTGAGTAGGTAGGTGAGTGAGTAGGTAGGTGGTTAAGTGAGTGGGTAGGTAGGTGGGTGAGTAGGTAAGTGGGTAGGTGAGTAGGTAGGTGGTTAAGTGAGTATGTAGGTGGGTGAGTAGGTAGGTTAAGTGAGTGAGTAGGTAGGTGGGTGAGTATGTAGGTGTGTAGTTGAGTAGGTAGGTGGATAGTTGAGTAGGTAGGTGGATAGTTGAGTAGGTAGGTGGGTAGGTGAGTAGGTAGGTGGGTAGTTGAGTAGGTAGGTGGGTAGTTGAGTAGGTAGGTAGGTGAGTAGGTAGGTGGGTAGTTAAGTAGGTAGGTGAGTGAGTAGGTAGGTGGTTAAGTGAGTGGGTAGGTAGGTGGGTGAGTAGGTAGGTGGGTAGGTGAGTAGGTAGGTGGTTAAGTATGTAGGTGGGTGAGTAGGTAGGTGGTTAAGTGAGTGAGTAGGTAGGTGGGTGAGTATGTAGGTGTGTAGTTGAGTAGGTAGGTGGATAGTTGAGTAGGTAGGTGGGTAGGTGAGTAGGTAGGTGGGTAGTTGAGTAGGTAGGTGAGTAGGTAGGTGGGTAGTTGAGTAGGTAGGTGAGTGAGTAGGTAGGTGGTTAAGTGAGTGGGTAGGTAGGTGGGTGAGTAGGTAGGTGGGTAGGTGAGTAGGTAGGTGGTTAAGTGAGTGAGTAGGTAGGTGGGTGAGTATGTAGGTGTGTAGTTGAGTAGTTAGGTGGATAGTTGAGTAGGTAGGTGGGTAGTTGAGTAGGTAGGTGGGTAGTTGAGTAGGTAGGTGGGTAGTTGAGTAGGTAGGTAGGTGAGTAGGTAGGTAGTTGAGTAGGTGGGTAGTTGAGTAGGTAGGTGGGTAGTTGAGTAGGTAGGTGGGTAGGTGAGTGGGTGGGCAAGGGAGGTAGTTACCGAACCCAGTTTTCCCTTAACACCACCATATCGCAACGACCGCGTTCAAAATCCCCACCACGCCGTGAGCGGTCGGCAAAAACACCGGCGCCCAGCGCCGGGGAACACGTGGCCATGAGGCTGTGGCGATTACGTCATTGTTTGTCGCAGCATGAGGTCACTGTTCGTGTGTTCATGTACAGGGTGGTGGTGGGGGGGGATTTCCTCTCTTCAGCCACAAGCATCGCTACAAGTGTTGCGCGAACGATTCGCTTAGCAAAAAGTGTCCTTTTATTTTAATCAATCCGTATCGCAACCGAACGGGGGCACAACAACATCGACAGGCGTCCGTCTTAAGCGTCCAGCAGTGATGAGTCCCGAAAAGTCTTTCAAGCAACGGAGGTCATTGGGTGAGCTGCTGCTGTTGCTGTTGTTGTTAAACCGTCTCCATTTCTTAACTCAAGCGTTGTTGTTGTTGGAAATGTCATTACTGTGTATTTTAAACACATTGCTGAAAGCATCGTCGCCATTATATATGGAGACAAAGATCTGTTGTTTGTAGCCTTGTATACTGTACTGACCGGTGCTGTTAGCGAGCGCCTATTAAGGACGTTACGGGGGACAAGGAAGAGCGGGGTAATGGTCAACAACACGGGCCCGCAGCATTTGTATCCAAAGTGGCAGCGTGCACGAAGTTGTTTCCTCGTTTAAGGCCGAGTCGACCGAGGGGAGGCCCAGGGCAGGTTCAGATACAGCAGTGCTATGTCGTACAGATGTCCGTGGTCGGGAATCGAACCCAGGTTCAACAATGGTTGTAGTGGAGTCCGATTAGAATCACAAACGAAGATACAACAAAAATGATCCCCCTCCCCTCCTATAGCCGTGTAGACTTGTGTCACGAATACACGGGGCGATGGTACGGCAAGCACCTCGCACGCCTTTGTCTTCCCAGTGCTGATCGCGCATACAACACAGCCCAGGTACAGTGCTACTTTTAATGCTGAGTCGACTTAGGGGAGGCCCAGCTAGAACCGGGATAATACATTGGGCGCCACTGATGGTGACCGGGAATCCAGCTTGACAATTCCGTGTGTATGCCATCAATTGTGAGTTTTAAATGCAGTCAGTGTATGCAATACGGTATATATACACAATGAACAGCATATATACTAAATTTTGATTTAAAGCTTTCGTGACTGCAGTAATTCATATTCTTAGCTCTTTCGGTAAAGTCACGTTGAAGGGAAACGATAAAATAATAAAATATAGCATATATACTGTATTATAAAATTACTTTGTTTACACCATACGTTCAACATTGTCCTTTAGTAGTGGCGTGGGCATGCTTTACATAACTACGTGTGGTGAAGTATGGTCAAACAACGTATCATTCGCCCACTGATGAACTCCACACTTAACCCCTAATGAGGCCCATTGAGCCCAAGGTAAGGACTCATCTTGAAAACAATTCACCGTACTTGAAGATCAATTTGAGACTCTGAGACTTTATTTGGCTAAACAAAAAGCCATTAACTTTTTATTATTATTATAAACACACCACGGCGACCCGTAACTTAACATAACGTTGAAAAGGATCGATGACCCTGCAACATCCTTTGTTTTTATTGTTTTTTAACAGCTATGGACTTTGCCTGCCCGTTAAATCTCACGCCTCCAGTCGTGTGCCAAGACCTTCACAGGCATCACAACATCACGATTCGCTGTAAAATCCCTCCTATCCTAATGATTAACCACTCTTCCAAGTATCCGCGCCCTCGAATTGACCCACGGGTCTAACTACGGACGTACTATCTGCGCTTTGATTAATCGTTTTCGCGTTTATGCGCGGATAAAGGGAGTCATTTTCAAGTATCAGAAGACTCATCCTGAAATCCGCGTTTACCCGACAGATACGTTGTTGCTTTGTTCGTCACACTTGGTTTTTAAATATACAATAACTTGTCGTAACGTTGCAGCCTTTTGTATTATTGACTTCTTGTACCATTCCCTGTAGTTAATTTCCCTTACAGATTAACCTTGGCCCATGTCGTGAACCGATTTCAGACGGTTCACGTATCTCCACTGTTTCTCCACTCAACATTTTAGACAACAAATGTTAATAACTGGCGGAATAACAATTAATAAATACAATGGAATATTTTTTTTAAAAAAATAATTAATATTGTAAAGATATTCGATTACTGTTGTGACCACACCCTAACTTGCTCAGGTAGTAGGCCCAGGAGCCTCTTCCCAGCCCTCCCTTCTCGCCTAGATACCCCAGCCGAAAGAGTCGATTCAAAATCGGTAGGGCGGTCAATGAAAGGTAGTATGGCCTCCATTAGCAGGGTGTATAAAATATCAGAAATAAAACTTGGTATCAACATTTTCAAAATGTAATCGATCCAGTCCTGAATTTTACCGTGATCAATATAAATTATCTCTAGTACCCTGGCATTGTTATACAACGAGCATACTGCACGTCTGCCAAGACTGGTTTTATGCAAAACTTGGCAGATACATTTTTTTTAAAGCTGTTATTAAAAATAAACCCTGCTTTAAAAAAATAAAAAGTGTGCTCTACCTTGGGCTCCACCTTGGCAAATGAACAATCTTAGTAGCTTCTGTCTAAAAATATATATATCTGGCAGACTCGTATCCTCAGCACCCATTCCCTGAGCAGAAGGCAGAACGCACACACTTGTTAAAGTTCCTCCAGTGTTACGAACTCCTTACAATGGAAAATCGCCAAACAAACCTCAAAACATCTGCAGTTAACATTGTGTTGTATTAAATTTACTTTAGTGAACTGATGCAGGATCCTGAATACACACCCGGAATTGCACTGCAATAAAGCATGCGTTCTATTTTGTATATATATTTTTCATAATGTCCTAGTCAATACCATGCATATTTACATTGAGAAATTGTTGCCAGGAAAACTTAAAAGGTCATTAGATCCCGTGACAAAATTGCTACGTTGGCAATGCTGAGATTCTCCCGCAGGCAGATAATACAGCGTACTACGTACTGTACCGTGTTGTATACTCTTTCTGAGTATCCCTGTATACTCTGATAACATGCACATGTTGTGCTACCAGGTTTGTATTGTGGCAGTGCTGTTTTTCAATCGGACGATCATGAGTTTTTAAATCGGAGTTTGTTCAGCCAATCATCGCTTTTGGGGTGGATTTAATGGAAGCCCTTTTTAACAGCTTTCCCGATGGGTGAAGATTCTATAACGGGAGGAAATGAGCAATGGCCAGAGCTCGCTTGTAAAAATACACAATGACTACTTAGACATGTAGCATACAATTAGGTGATGTTCATTGATTCATACAATTACAGTATATATGCATCAATTCTTAAATTGTTAAAATTGTTGACTTAATTTTACAAACTGGATTTGAGGTTTTCGTGACTGCAGGGGTCCATACTCTTTGGTTCTTTCGGTAAAGTCACGTAGATATAAAACAAAATAAATGAAATCACGACGTTTCGGGCGCAACACAAGCATCCGTCATCAGGTGGAACAGCCACAGCTGTGTATCCCCTTGTTGCAAGCAGCTCTTTTGCCCGCCTCGGCAGTTGTTTCTTGCTGTGGCTGTTCCACCTGATGACGGACGCTTGTGTTGCGCCCGAAACGTCGTGATGTAATTTATTTTGTTTTATATCTACGTGACTTTACCGAAAGGACCAAAGAGTAATTTTACAAATTCTATGAAAATGGTATCCTAATGTTGCATTTTGGGAGCGAAAAGGAAGAATTGACCTATGGATAACAAGGCTGGCCTGTTATCCCGTGCCAACCACATTGAAGTGAATTTTGATTTAAAGCTTTCGTGACTGCAGGGATTCATATTGTTGGTTCTTTCGGTAAAGTCACGTAGAAGGGAAACAATAATAAAAATATAAAACAATGAAATTCTCACGACGTTTCGACTGCAACACAAGCAATCATCAAGCAGTCGAAACGTCGTGAGAATTTAATTGTTTTATATTTGTATTATTTTATTGTTTCCCTTCTACGTGACTTTACCGAAAGAACCAAGAATACACATTGAAGTGATTTGCAAGTTAAGTTTGACCCGGACAGTACGGGTATTGGCATCTGAGTGGGGTGCCAGGAATTGATTTGTACTGAGATGTGGTGGTTTTGTGTTGAACTTTAAACTTATGTTTGTGTATAGTTTTCATTGACCTAGGTTATATCTGAAATTGGTCTGTGGAAAAGGCAGTACCCCTTTTTCCACAGATGCTAAAATCTATATTTTTATCCATGTTATTAATGGCTATAATAAAGTGTTTACGTATGTCTATTCTTTTCCACCATCAGCTTCAACACAGCTAAGAAGAGTTCCATTGTCCTTCGAAATCCAAAACTAACTCTGAAAATGTGTTTTTTAATCATGCAGTGGAGAGACAGAGAGATGTGGAGCAAATTCGGTCACAGCATCCCAACAAAATTCCAGTGAGTATCATTTTTACCAATTTGGGATAAATTTGTATTCTGTATGTACGTTTTTGAGAGATGTGGAGCAAATTCGGTCACAGCATCCCAACAAAATTCCAGTGAGTATCATTTTTACCAATTTGGGATAAATTTGTATTCTGTATGTACGTTTTTAAAATGTATGTATTTCGTCTATTTAGAAATTAGGAAGTATTGACATGTGGTCACATAAGACGTAGAATTACGCTTAACAGGCTTTACACTTGGTTTATGATCTCCAGTATACGAGGGATGGACATATTTGCATGAGCATAACTTAGCTGAACAGATTATACCTAAACTCTACGTCATTTAGAATTGTAATTTATAATTCATTTGACAAATTAACATATCTTAAATTTAATACAGAATTTGTGAGAACACAGCTGGGTGTTGGCTTTGTTGAGGTTCTCCTCAAAAGGATTTAATTTCGTAAATTGGCTCACGGCCCCCAGCAAATGTGAGCATCACTTCATGCTTGTTTGAACATGGAGACATATGATGTTTTTGTACTTATACTGGACAAACTAACTAAGCGAGCCTCATTCGCTAGATGAGATGCAATGGTGGTGTCCTGTGTATATTTGAACGTACATTTGGAGAGGTAGCGTAGTGGTTACCGCACTGTGCTACGCACCCTGCGACCTGAGTTTATTTCCCATCCACGGCCAAAATCAGTGGAATTGATCTGAACCAGTCCCAGGCCTCCCTGTGTTCACAAGTACCTTGTGCAGTGTGCAAACATCGGAACTGGGGAGACAAAGGTTGCCGACCGTGGTACTGGCTATATCACCTTTCCCGCTATACCAGCTTTCATAGGTGTTTGCTGAACAGGGCTTGCCCCCAGCACTTTCTACAGCTATACAGAGAATCTTTATCTTTGTGGTTTGTGCATGCAGGTGATAATAGAGAGGTACCGTGGAGAGAAGCAGCTGCCAATGCTGGACAAGACAAAATTCCTCGTCCCTGACCATGTGAACATCAGTGAGCTCGTCAAGATTCTCCGGTAGGTCCTTCAACAAGGGTAGCTATTTCAAACATCATGATCATTAATCACCATCATGAAGAAAGTAGTTGGGTCCAGAGCTGGCACGTCTATCTAACAACTTAAGAGGTGTACATGTAATAATACAAGTATAATAATAATGGTATTTGTTTCTCTAGGCAAGCCTCACTGAGTCTCAGGTCTTTTTCAGCAAGGTCCTGCATTGAAGGGATCTTAGAAGTAGTTCTGTAATATTCGCTACTAACACGAATGTTTGCACGGCGCTGCAAATTATTCGAATGGATTTTTCTCAGGACAGTGAAAGCATAATTGGGATAAAATTGCGGGAAAAGGTTTATTTTAATGTTAAGAAGAGGAAGATTCTGCATTGGGATGTTTTGCCAGTTACATTTATAAGTGTTTGGCCTGTGTGTCAGGGAGCATCAAAGTAAAGTAGCATTTTAATGCCCACCACGTAACCTCGCAGACCCGATGATAACACTGTGTAACAAATTTGTATTTATTTTTTGTTCCTGGGCAGTAAGTGTTATTTACCAATTGCTTATGCCTCAAAAGTATAGAAAATGGCTATTATTCCCCACAAACTTTGCTTTTGTGACCAGGCCAGTGATATTTTGAAATGTACCTATTTTCAATGAGAAAACGGGTGAATTTGTGTCTTTTCGTTCACGTAAGTCAGAGAAAAACAACATATGAATGAAAATTAACATGTATTTATACTAAAGTAATACAAAAATACGACAAAAGATTTAGAAGTGAGTAGTTTTTCGAGATTGTTCCTCCCCACAGAGAACTCGGTCCGCTGTGGCCAGTCCCCCCTGTGGTAGTGCGCCTTGGTGTCTAAATATTTTACTAAGGAACACAAATTGTGTTACATCGTGTAATTTGTGCAAGGTGGTCACCCATCCAGGTGTGAGACTCAAGCCTGCTTAGCTTAAAAAAATCTAACGAAATCTGGCACATTTCTGGTGATTTGACCATAGGCCACAGGACTCTAAAACAATTCAATGCAAAGCCAACGTCCATATCAGTGTTGGGCGTCCTCATTTTGTCAGCAGTCCTGATGGAAATTCCCCATTCCCGTGGTGGAGGTAAGTTTATACATAGGACAGCCACGGTTATGTGTTCAAATGTTGGCTGGGCCAAAATACTCTTGTCAGATATCTCATATGTCGTAGCCAGCTGTGTTGGCTTTCACAGTCTGACTTAATGTGTAGCGAAGTGGAAATCGAAGCCTTGTAAAATATTTATCATCAACCTCTAACCCTCGTATGGTGAGGCTTGGCCTGCAAGAGCTGATAAGTTTGCTCTGTGTGCAACGCTGGGCTTGAGTGTTCCCTTAAAGGCGTAAACCCAGATCAATATCATCCCATCTGTGCAGAACTACCAAATCCATGCTCTGGATGTGGCTCATCAAATTGACTAAGACAGTCCAATAAGTGAGCTTCGGCCTGGTGTGTAAAATACGGCTCTTGATCGTACTGTACAAACGATATGCTCATTAATAGCATTGGATAAACATTTCATAGGATGCTGCTGAAACTGAGTCATACTCTGAGGCTCTCCTTGGTATGTAGCATATTATTGTTATCATTGTTAAGGTCCATATTGTCATCAGCAATGTAATTATCAATATTATATTTTATCATCTGCAGATTTACTATCATCGTTACTATGAAAGCAATTTTTTTTCAAAATATGAATGTTTCTGAATAAATAAAGGGCAAATATGTTCAGTAGTTTTTTTTATTCAACATAACAGCTGTTGTGGTTTTATATCAGCTTGGAATTATATTTGTTTTGCTTGTTAATTTATTAATAACATGTTGTATCCCATTGCACATCAGTTTTGTCTGTAACAAAATTACCACGAGTGTGCTCGATCTTATCGGATCACATACACTTAGCAGGGTTGAGCCTGGATAGTGCTTGGATGCATTCCCACCATGCACGTTAGATTGTCATAGGCGGCTGTGGGGATTTCAGGGTGTTCAGCAAGGTCTTTTATGTTCCCTGGCTTTACTAACTCATACTGAGCAGCATAAGCGTGGTCACATCACTCCAAAGTCCCGCATGGCGTAGGAATCCATTTGTCCATCAATGTGTTGACAAAGGGCTGGAAATGTATTTACCTGAAACTAGGATTACCGATACAAATAATTTCATTGGTTGCATTTCTGATATTATCATGCATATTCGTATCACTAGTCTTGGTGGTACTAGTATCAGATGCGATATCTGCAGCCACTGGTGGAGCCAGTGGGGGGGGTGGCACGTGCACCCCCAATGGTCCGATTGAAATCCCTAATTTCGATCGGATCATTGGGGTTTATTAGTAATAAATCGGCCTTTTGCGACAATAGTCTAAGTCAATAATTGGCAATATGTAACGGCAAAGCAGTTATAAGTGACTTGCGGAATTGTGCGCAGTTGCGTATACAGTACACGACTTCCCTGAAGGCAAACACCTTCAGCGAGTGCGATGCCGATCACACAACGCGGTTCGAATTCGACCCTCGATCGATGGCTGCGCCATCGCCGCACATGCGTCGAATAAAAAGCAAGGGACAAGTCCTTACTAACAACTCCTATCATTTTTTCATTGCTGGAGGGGTTGCCCCTCCTACCTGAAAATCCTGGCTCCACCATTGTCTGCAGCTATTGTCTACCTTTGTTTCAGAGTGAAGCTGTGTTAGCAAAATAATGCCAATTTTGTTTTATCCAGGAAAGCCTCACTGCTTCTCAAGACTTTTGTTTAAGAGGGTCCTGCTACATTGCAATTTTTGGCCAGTACCACTAATGAGTGTCATGTCGGAGGAAACTGGAGTACTGGAGAAAAACTACCCTGAAGAGGGATAGCACTTAAAGCTCTAAAAATAAAGATTTATTCATCAATTTACGTATTTCCTTATACTGGCCACCTCACATCCTAAGCCTATTATGCCTGGTATTTCCAGATAGTCTCCCATTCGCTTACAAACTAGGCTCGTGGCTACTTAACTTTAGGAATCCAATGAAGTTATGTGCGTTTCGGATGAGTGTGTCGACGAAATGATAAGAGCATATCTAGTTCCGTGTGTGTTCGTGCGTGTCTGTGTGTGTCTCTACATGTGGTAGGTGCTGTCTACACAGCGGTTAGCGCGCTAAGCTATGAACCCGGCCACCCGAGTTCGATTTCCATTCACAGCCAACACCAGTGACGATTATTTGAACAGGTCCTGGGCCTCCCCAATGTCGACTCGGCCTCAAATGAGTACCTGTTGCGGTGTGTTCATATCTACGCTTGGGAGACAAAGGCGGCCGGGCTTGGTGCTGGCCACCCACTCCCTCGTGTGCCGTGCCAGCCTTCACACGTGCTCGCTAACAGCACTTGCCCCAAAAGTCTGTTAATGCCATACGGGGGATCTTTGTCTTTGTAGGCGCCGTCTGCAGCTCAGCCCGAACCAGGCCTTCTTCCTGCTGGTGAATCAGCGCTCCATGGTGAGCGTGGCTGTGCCCATATCCCAGGTTTACGAGCAGGAGAAGGATGAGGACGGCTTCCTCTACATGGTCTACGCCTCTCAAGAGACATTCGGCAGTGTCTAAAATACGCTCAGCACCCCCCCCACCCCACCAAATAAACACCCAGACCCTCGCAGCCGTCGGACACTCACAATGATCACCGCCACCACCACCACCGCCGCCAGCACGCACTCTCAGTTCCACTCTGATGCTGTCGTACATGGGCAGAGCTGTGTAGAGTAGAGTTGCCATCTGTGTGGAAATCGACTGTTGTAGAATAGGGTTATCTTTTGTCTAGATTTTACCTTTGATAATAAGGAACCTGATCGTTATAAAATAGTGACACCATCTATCTCTGTTTTAGCCGAACATGTGTACATGTTGTAGAAATGTAAACATCTCGTATAATATGATACCAATAGTATTTCCAAGGTTTCTAGTCTGGGCAGTGGCACCATAACCATTTTACCTTTTTTTGCGCATTGCACTTCTCCAGTACTTATTTACCACCACAGCCCTTGGCTGTTATGAGGGCCGTAGAAAGAGAGGGAGGCAGGTGGATACAGTTCGCCTGGAGCCTCAGATCCGAAGGGATCTCAGAATCAGAGAGGGAGGGGTACTTAATGACATTTTGCCCTATGCCTCCAAGAACACTGGTAGCCTTGCCCATTTGTCCAGTTCTGGCAAAAACAATTTAAGAACCTTTCTGGATCCTCATTGTGCCCAGTCCCATCCCCACAAAGTTGCGTGATCTCACCCTACCGTCATCCTCACTCTCTCACCATACTCTTCTCCCTACCTCCTTACGGCATTGCGGCCAAGCCAGGGAGGGGAGCACGTTTGCTGGGTAGAAATTTTGGTGAGGAGGGGTTAGGATGGGGTGGTGGTGAGAAGTTGGTACTATAGTTGGGAAAACAAATTTAAGCAAGGTTTAATGGGAAAGTAAGTTCGGTAAAATTAAGTTACGCAAAAAGATTATGCATTGGGCTGCGAGTGGTGGTCAAGAGAGTGCCGATGATGATGCCACCGCCAACACATTTCAGTTTCTCAATCCCCATCTGCGTGCGTTATCACCCAAGGCTGGAAAATTCGAGGTGGACTTTTGTTGCCTCAATTTTGAAACTACATCCACTGGCGGAGTCAATGGTGGGGTGGCACGTGCCCTCCCAATGATCCGATCGAAATCCCTAATTTCATCGGATCATTGGGGTTTATGAGTAATAAATTGGCATTTTGTGACCCCCACTGCCACTGTGTAGCATATTATGTGCCAGGGAGATGATAGGACAATAGACTTGAGTCCATAATTGGCAATAAGTAACGGCAAAACAGTTATAAGTGACTCAGAATTGTGCGCAGTTGCGTATACAGTACACAACTTCCCAGAAGGCATTCACCTTCAGCGAGTGCGATGCCGATCACAACGCGGTTCGAATTCGACCCTTGATCGATGGCTGCACCATCGCCGCACACGCGTCAAATAAAAAGCAAGGGACAAGTCCTTACTAACAACTATCATTTTTCATTGCTGGAGGGGTGGGCCCCCCTACCTGAAAATCCCTGCGCTCCGCCACTGGAGAGGAGCTGGACAGTCAAAAATGTACGAGAATTAAACGTATGAATGCTTACACTTGGAAGAACAATTTTAGAAGATTAAACAAAGTTGCAGTGCTTATCATTTTTAACTAAACCTTAACATCACGTCATACAATTAGTAGGTAAAGGAGATGGTTTGATAATATAGCTGTCTGCTTTGATCGCAAGCTAGATAGTTGCAGTCCAGGAGAATATTAATCCGACTGCGTAAAGTTTTGTTGTATCTGTCTCCAATGTGTTTTGGTTTGTACTGCGTGTTCGGCAATGTTCGATTCATGTACTTCTTCAGGTTATGAATCTTAGATCCGAATCCTGAAGAAGCTTCCAGAAAGTAGAGTGAAACGTTGGACAAAATGCCGGACAACCTGAAAGCACATTTGAGGGATCATTAACCTACTGCACAATAAGTATAGGCCAAAATAGTGTCCTATAACACACACATAATACACAGGTTCACTTTTTAGTCCATCAGCTTTTGAGCCTTTTGGAGAAATGTTTTCCAACAAAGCAACAGCATGCCTGATGATATTGGCAAGAGCCCTCCTTGATCACCATGGGGCCCATTCAGCACCCAGACATCAAAACTGTATAAAACAGATCTGTTCCCAATTATTGCTATAAAACCCATATTCTGCCAAAACAGCACATCGTAACTTGGTACAAATCACACGGTCAGACGCTGACACAATTACGCTCCAAGGCATCGTGGTGAAAACTTTCAAACGTGTTAAACGCATGTTCTGCATGCCCAGTGACATTTTAAAAGCTGGTTGGCTGCAGTGAACTTGCAGGCTAACAAAAGGATATTGCAATGTTTGGTGTAATTTTTGCAAGATGCCTGCAGCTTGTTGCACATAACAGCGTGCAGCTGTGTTTACGGTTTATTTTTCACATGGCGATCGTGCAGCCACTAAGCATACATTTACTTGCTTTGTGTCAGTCCACTTTCTCAAAGAGGGTCTCCCCGCACCTGTGGGGAAGGCTGGTCAGTGCCAGTTAATGAAGGACCGGAGCCTGGATGTGGGAGCCTTCGAATGATATCAATCCTTGCTGCCAACCGTGCAGCCCCCCAGCCCATACAACAACAACAACCTCTTGGGCTTGGCGGTCACCCATCCAGATTCTATGTCGAGTCAACCCCTGATGGGATCAAGTGCGTTCTCTCTGTGATTTGGTCATGGGTAATATGTGGGAACGTTTAGGTTCTTGAATTTACTACACCCACACTAACATCGATTTATAGGACTCAAGCACATTACGTGCACTGTATGCGTTTCCAATTTCACCTTTAACTATTCAGCAGATGTGTAAACATATACCCCAAAAATATTAATTTTAGTTATGTATTTCCTTTTCCTATGTGTTGAATGATTAATATATACTGTATACTGTAGTTCTCAAGTTGTGTGCAGGCTTGATATGTTTACATCGGGTTGCCACCCTTGAGGTGAACACAATCTGGACTATATGGGTGATCGGTGTTGTACAGTAGCACTGCAATCATCACATATTTGCTTAAAGACAGTGACATCAAATAAGGCAAGATATGTTAAAGAGTCCGAAAGTTGTAAACATTCTTGCAACCGCATGGATTATGTACCGCTTTCCGAACATGCATGTCTTTGGAAGTATTTAATTAGCGGTACAGAAGCTGATGGGCAGTCGTCGGGGGTAAAACTCGTTTAAATGTTTGCAAATGCTGTTGTTTTTTTGCCTCTGATTTGTGTAAATGTTTTGGGAAGAAAAAAACATCCATTTGATCAATGTGGCCGGTTTTAAATTAGGTGAGTCTTCGATTGCAACGCGACTTTATACTCCAGTGTGGTTTATACAGGGTGTTATAAAATGATGGACCCGATTTGAAATCGCTGTATCTCTGCAATCACGAACCGCCCATGAATGAAACTCTAACCACTTGAAAGGGCGGGGCATATAGAGGGCAGGGCATAGTTTTAAATGATTACCGCTCGATGCCTCTCCCAGCGCACAAACAGCCCCTAGCCTCAGTCGTTCGCAAGACGGTGACCCCACCGCAACACAAGGGGCGTTTTGCGTTCTGCAGTTCGGCAAGACTGAATCCGTAATTGCGGTGCGGCGTGCGTTTCAACGGCGTTTTGGCATTGATCTGCCAATGTCAAAGAGCATTCGTCGTTGGTAGCGACAATTTGAGGACACGGGCTGCTGTTAATGTAAGGGGAAGAGCACTGGGCGACCACGCACCTCAGAGGGAAACGTGGGAAGAGAGGCGTTTGGGACGAATTCAATTATCGTCTCGATGTTGTCTGTACAGCAGGTGGAGGGCACATAGAGCATTTATAAAATGGTTAGTAAAACTTGATAAATCATTAAACCGTTTGTAACGTTTTGTGTAATTGTAACATGTTGCCATCGTGAAATATACTGCTTTGAAATTTCGTCCATCATTTTCAAACACCCTGTATATTGGATCATCTTTACGATAGACGTACTGCTCCCGCCCGGTTATGGATGGATGGATGGACAGCGATTGCATAATTATATATGCTTCCAAGCACTTTGGTTCTTATTTACCTACGTGACTTTACCGAAAGAACCAAAGAGTATGGATTCCTGCAGTCACGAAAGCTTAAAATCAAGATTGAATGCTTCCAAGCTTAATTGAAACGCATTATAAAGAGAATAGCGTTGAGCAGACCCAGCTGAAATATGTTTCTGGCCATACTAATTAAGTATGGGTGGCAACCCTATGTGGCCCCGTGAGAGAACGAGATAAATGACATTGGTTGGTTGGACTTTCGAGCGATGCAACCGTGTGAGAACAGAGTGACAATTTGACTCACAAAATGTGTGGTGAATATTTGTCGTCAAAGTGTTTTAGTGTGGCAAGCGATTGCAACGAGTGCAGGACGGACATCATCGAACGTGATGGTGACTACGACTACCACCAAAGACCAACTCGTGACCATGACGACGAGACGAAATTAACTTTGCTTGAATGAAAACGCAGACGAAAATTATTTATGAATGAAGAAGACAAAGCATGGTAATTAGATATACAGCTTTCCCTCTCTGTATGCGGGTTAGGTTTGTGCGATTTCGCTGTACAGAATGCGGTTTGAATCCAATCACATGCGGTCGGACGTTGGGCAATGTGCGTAGTATATGCGCAACTTGGCAGGCAGCTATCAAGTGCGCTTTTTGCTCTGTGCGCCCATTTTGGAATACATCTTCTGCATAAAGCGAGAGAACCATGTATATGTATCGATTCTTTTACCAAGTTAACTGATTGGCTGACCTAATAATATTAGGGTGTAAAATTATGCGGTAACTGACATCAATCTTTATTAAATAACTGCACCAAATGTTCGACTGCTTTAGTCCGAATCGGGCGTGGAGTCGTTATGTTCCATTCTGTTCTGCTCTGGATGACCACAGTAGAGATGTTTTCATTCGTGCATCAAGAATCCTCATTTGTTTCGGGTTGTGTGGATGCGGTTTTGGGGTTGCCCGCCCGCAAGCTGCTTCCGCACAAACCATGGCAGATGTGCGCACTCGATGCTCCAATGGAAATTTAAGGGAATGACTGGATGAAATCCACAGACTTAAGACTTCAAAATGTCACGTCATCGACTGGACTAATATAAAACATGCCGATTACATTAATACTGTACCGATAGCAACACGTGGAGTTTTATCAACTCCCAAGATTACAACAAAGCTGGTTTCATCCCATGTTATGCTTCGCGTGGTGTTACACACGTAAGTAATGCGTAGCAAAGCACTGCTACCCAGTCTCATACTCGCACGTCGTGTCAAAATGTCTCGGATGATGTGTTGCAAGACGAGTTGTGTTCGTGAACGTGTGGATTATTTCGTTTTTGAGAGATTCGCTTGTGTGACTACAAAATAAATACGCTCGGTTTTTGTTTTGCCAAAAACAGTCTTGT